TTGAAAGTAGTGAGCACACTCTCTACTGGGATCGCTCCATTATGACTGACAAGTCGGCGGCAATAGACCCGATTGCATTGATAGAAACCATCAACAGGTTTTCCTTTTATCGATATATTAATACCCAACACCCACAGCATGTCGGCAAAACATCAAGAGAAGATCCAGAAGTATACAGATCTCACCCATGAAGTCACAGTTCGGTGGAAATTCAACAAAGTGACAACTGTGCTTATAATAATATCAGCCGCAGGAGTGATCCCGAAAATGACACTTCAAGCACTAGAGTCTTCACTTGGATGCCAGGAGTATATATAATATGCAGAATGCAGTCATCTAGAATACATGTTTTATTGTTAGAAGCCACCTGAATCTTCGTTAATGCAACCGCACATCTGGTCATTATTCCTGTGAGTGGTTGACATGCCAACCAGTAAAAACTGTAAAGGAAATAATAATAATAATAATAATAATAATAATAATAATAATAATAAAATAAATAGTTCCAAGAAGATACTTCTGAACATTGTGGGAGAGTTCAGCAAGCAGTGAGCGCAGTTGATAATAACTATATCCTCGAAAACTTGAAAAAGCTTGATCCGCCTGTTCAACCAATCATTGAAAACGGAAGGAAGATAACCTTATGAAAGCAAAGGCACTGCATGAAGTACCCTCACGAGCTGAGTAAACCAGAAGTCGACATCTCTGCGTCGCACGCATGCTCCAGCACGGGGATCTCTTTCGGAGACAGAAGCCTTCATGATAGCTATCCAGGACCAAGTGGACCAACATTGAACTACAGAAAACACATCTGAGAGATGCTACATTCATTCCGACTCGTGTAGAAGATGTGAGGCTGCAAGCGAAACTATCCAACACGTGACAAGTGGATGTAGCAGCCACGCACAGGTGGAATACAAAAAGAGGCATGATGAAGTGGCGAAGCAGGTACACCAATTATTGGCGTTGAGAACGGCTTACTCGCCACTTCCGTGCCGTATTATAAATATGTGCCTCAGAATGTGCTTGAAAGTAGTGAGCACACACTCTACTGGAATCGTTCCATTATCACTGACAGACATGTCGGCGGCAATAGACCCGATATAACGTACATTGATAGAAACCAACAGCAGGTTTTCCTTATCATATATCAATACCCAATACCCACAACATATCGGGAAAATATCAAGAGAAGATCCAGAAGTATACCGATCTCGCCTATGAAGTCGCAACTCAGTGGAACTTCCGTAAAGTGACAACTGTGCATATAATAATATCAGCTACGGGAGTGATCCCGAAATACACTTCGGGCACTGGAGTGTCTTCACTTGGATACCAGGAATGTATATAATATGCAAAAGACAGTAATTTTGAATACATGCCGTATTGTCAGAAGCCATCTGAACCTTCAGTAAAGCAACCACACACCTGGTATCATACTGTGTGTGGTTGACATACCGACCAGTAGATGCTGTGAATAATGTAATAATAATAATAATAATAATAATAATTAATAATTAATAACATAATTATTTGTTTCGATCAATTGGGCGTTCTAATAAGTTCGGAATTTATTGTTAGGTTTCCGATGTATCAATTTCAATTCTTTATTGAGTATATTTCGTTTACAGGAAAACGAAGCCAATATATGCTGTTATCTGCGACAACTGAATGCGCGGTACTTGAGGCCATTTGTCGCGACTTCGATGTTCCACGGAGCATTATGTAGTGTGTTCTGCAAAAGAAGTCCCTGTCAAAACGTGTTGCATACGGAAGTAGAAAACGTGCAATAAGTTCACAGGATTATTTTTAAGCAAGAATAATTTGCTAGATTGTTTTAAGGAAGCTCATTGTTCGCTCAAATAATTTTATTCGATTAAGATGTAAATCAAATAAAAAGCGGGCAGTTACCACGTCCGAGTAAAAGGAATCCTACATTCTAATTCATATACAATAATTACAATACAATACAATAGAGCCTGATATGTCTTGCTAAATCATCAGTTAGAACTGTGCACCCAGAAATGATCAATAATCTCAATATTTTAATGAACAAACATTTTAGCTTCAAAATGCAATGGGCTTGTGTCATGATATTTAGAATAGAAACTCTTAGTAGACCATAATTAATCGTATGTGTGTATCCAAAGCAAAGCCATCAGTTCACGCAGAAGGTGTGTAAGCAATAATTCATGCTTTCAAGAGTTTTTTTTAAATTTCTATTATATAATAATAATAATAATAATAATAATAATAATAATAATAATAATAATAATAATAATAATAATAATCGTTATGAATAATGCAACGACAATTATTCAATTCAACAGTTCTTTACATACTAAGAATATAAGAAAGTTTTCGTTCCATAGCGCAATACGTGAATAACAAATATTTAACTGTGGACGGCCTCTTTCTTGGAGCCATGCCGCCGCACGACGTGAGCCTTGACTCTCTGAGTATGATTATACAGTCGGTACGCGCAGTATGTGAATAGGTGGAATAACAGAATCAAACATTCTTCAGTCAAAACGAAACTTTTAAAAAAAATTCCCTTGTTTTAGGGTATTTTACGGATCCATATATACTTAACATGGCATAGAAAATTAGTAGAACTGATGTCATGATTTTAGACCGATGGGGCCTTAAGAATATGACCTTGTGTACCGTATGTGATCTTTCATTTAATAGGTGTGAACCCATTCTCCCCATTACATGCAAGTATATGAATAAATAATTTAAAATTTGCGCAGAAATTGAAAGAAAATTAAGCCACCATCTATCATGTGAGAGATGACTATGGTTTTCTTTGATACTCAGAAACTAGTAAAAATGCAAAAAGAAAGTTTCGATTTTGACTGAGAAATGCAAGTATTTAACGCATGCACTCATATTCAGTTCGCCACTGCTTACGGCTTCAGTGTGCGTGAGGTTTATCTTACTGCTTCCCACCAGTACTTGGGTTCGATCCCGGCTGAGGCTCGTGGATTTTCGAAGAGCGAAAATGCCTCAGTGGACATGTCTTGCTAATAGCATGTTAAAGACCCGTGGCAGACGCCCGGTTATATTAAATCTTTCCTCCAATGTTCCGTCATAAAGACCTCTCACGTTCTCTCAACCGGAGAGTTAGGATATAGTTAACTGAGACCAACATCTGGCAGAGAAAGTGAGAATCACACCAGGTTTATCAGGGAGGCTCTTGGGCGGGTGGGCTTGCAAAAGATGCGTACGGAACCAGTACCCGTTTCTCCGGAATGAAAAACACCATGTAAATAATGTTTTTCTTATTACATCTTGTGTTATGGAACAATAATTTTTTTTATTCTTTAAATGCAATTGACTGATGTTCTGTAAACATACAACAAAACCTTATCGCAGTGTTGTGAGACAGTATTTTATTTGTTGTTCTTGAGCAGTGTGTATGCTACTTTATGGAAAAGGTATTGAAAACTTATTTTGGATAGCAGCATTTTTGCTACTCATGGCCTCCAATCAACAATACTATTTTCTCATGGGCGCTGAACTTGAAAGAAATATATGCAGACTACAGGCTTTTCAGATGTGTCTATGGTTTTGTTAGATACCCAGGAATTCTATTACTAATTTTCAATGCGCGAAAATTTTAAAAGAAAACCACGCAGCCAAATGTAACGAAACGTGGTCGTTAATCCAAGTCATAAAATAGTTCAGGGTATACAACCAGGGTTTTGGGGCGCCAAGCGCGCATTGGGTGGCGGCTGTAGGGTAATTCTGGGTCGAGATGATGCAAAGGTTTACTAACCTGGTGGCTGGATACGGATTTATTTAATCGAATTAAGCCAGTAATGATAAACAAAAGTAAACTTTACATGCAAGGTGATCTACTGCATGAGCCTTGTGTCTAGTGAATTTAAACAGTCTATTAACTGACAGGGCAAGTAATAATTGGTCAGGTGTATTGATCTCGACCGGCGGTTACGACTCGCCAACAATTGCGCGCCGACGGGTTTTGGCGGATGGCGGATGACGTTAGATGGCGGTTTCCCGCTAGTGAGAGATTCCTAGTTGAAAAACAAACGAAAGCCTGTGTGTAGGTCGGCGCCGTTTCTCATCATACTGCTGAGAACACCACCGCCACCTTCATGCTCACATAAGAACATGCAAACAAGACAATGCCATTTTGCCTGCGTGAACAGTTTGAAACAGGCGTAATGATGGACGGATAGTAGCGTCATATCTGCAAACCCGGTCTCTATCTACTAGGCTGTCCTAGGTAGTAGCCCAACAACTATTGTCATGGATAGCCCTTACTTTAAGGAAACTTACATCTCCGCCTGTAACCCTGACAGTCGTGACCCTTAAAGGTTTCGTCTATTACGTCAATTGGAAAACTTAGCCTTTTTGGTCCGCGAAGAGTCACAGAATAACGCCCTATTGCAATTGTACGCATTATAGTGTATTATTTCTCATATTCACTGAGCGTCTCGGATTCACTGGGTGTTCAAGACAGAACAAATTTTGAATAAAGTATAATTTAGTAAAACGTGCTTAAGATACATATCGCAAAGAAAGGGTAAGAAGGCGTTCCGACATTATCACATAGGAATACGGGGCAATTATCAAAGTTGAACTATCCCGAAGTTCTCAGTGTTGCTACAAAACATAAAATTGGGTATTTAATTTATCATCGATAGGCGCACACGGAAAGGTACACATGTTAAAAATTGTCATTTAGGAGGAAAGGAAACTGCTTTTTTGTGAAGCGGCGACCTTTATTTTGCGCGAAAAGACAAAATGTTTTGCGCAATTTCACACTAAAGATACTCTAAAAATAGATCGATCATTTCAGTTTTTTTATTTCTATAAGGATTAGTTAGTGTGCTTCGTTAATTGTTACACTAATGCACATTGTGGTTATAATGAAGACCAAAAATACATTTTAAGTAGAATAAATAGATAGAATTAATAGTACCCATAAAAACTGTGATATTTTTTTAAAGTACTCTAGTATACTGCAAGCAATGTTTCTCCCACTCGACAGTTTTAACGTCAACGTGCAGAAACGACGCAACGCCCAGACGCTGGTGTCAATTTCACGTCTGGGAGTGACATTCGAAATCAACTTTCTCACAGACAATTCTTTTTCTGAAAAACTGAATCAGCCGTTCTTCTTGAAATTCAACATAGGGTCCGGAGTATTTTTTGTGACGGGAGCTCTTGGACATCTGTATGTAGCATATAGCAAATTTTATGGATTGTGGTGTAAGTGGTGCAACAACGAACGAAGCACACTAACCAATCCGTATGGAAACAAACACAACTGAAATGGTCAAACTATTTTTAGCATCTAGTGAATACAGCCATATTTCTTCACTTCACTCGAAAATGAATGTGTGTCACCTTTCTCGTACACCGAGGATTTGTAGTTTCTTCTTTCCATGTTGCGTTAGATATAGCTTCCAAGGGTTAACGGCCACGCGCCTCAGCCGTGTGCGGAGTCTGCGGTCAACAGAGGTTGAGCAACGCCGGCCCGCGGCCCCTGCGGGGGCGGGGGCGGCGGAGACGCGTCGGTGCGCCCATAAACCGCACGTAGTACTAAAGCGGCCAACGGTGGCGCTTGTCCGCAGTAGGAGCGCGGCTGCAGTGCGGGCGGCGCGCGCCGGCAACCGCCGAGGCCGAGGAGGGCAGGAGGAGGAGGAGACCGCGCAGCGAGACCCGAGCACGCCCCCGCGCCGCTGCCATGAGCCAAGACGGCGCCGCCGACGCCTCCAAGGGCCGCGACGCCTCACCCGGCAGCGGCGACGACGCCGCGGAGCTGGGCGAAGTCAAGGACAAGCCCCGCGAGAAGTCCAAGGTCAAAGGGAAGGTAAGCGCTCTTAAGTGGTAGTTTCGGAGTTCACTTTACCTGATACGAATTATATTCGTGATTCTGAATAAATGTTACAAACTTCTAGGGCATGTACAGGGGTTGAATATGATCACTTTGTGCCATGATTGTTGGGAAATGTGGGATACCGACTTGCATATGTTATTACCCCTGATTCGTAAGCAATGCATTTGCGCATTGTTTGGTCGGTCACTTTCTGTCGCAGGCTGAGAGGGTTGCCTATAAATCGGGGTCAAATGTAAATGGTGTAACATAGTCATACCCAATTTCTCACCTCTCACCATATGATCAAGTAGTGTGTAATATTTATTCTGAGGCAACCTGAAATTTGGGCGTCAGAAAACGATGTTCTATCCACATTGTGGGTGTCCCGTATTGTTCAAAATATCATAAGGTCCTTGTCTCTTTCTCAGCACATTTTGATAATGTATAGTGTCTTTTCCAGTGCCGAATGAGTATGTCATAATTGTTGAGAACATTAATAATGATGAATATCATTTACATAAATATAACATTCCAATAGGTAATAGGCGGATTTCGTATAATTTTAGTTGGGTACGTGACGAGTGTAACCTAGGCTCGAGGGTCATTCCACCACATACGCACATAGGTCAAGAAAAAATCTGGGTAAGCCACGTTTAAATTCTAGTGCGAGGACAGATTTAACACAGCCACCAATGTTGCACGTTTCAAAACAATTAATTTGGAAAATCTATTATTTTTATCTAATACTTGTCAGTTAGGTATGTTTGTACATTTTTGCAGTAGTTCCGGATTAACAGATATTTTTATGTATTTTGAAAATATGCAATTTATTGATTATCGATGAACTACATAATATACTGGCAATATATTTTGGAAAATAGCACTTTTTATTGTTATTTTGCTATTTATTACTCTTCGATATTTGTTGATGAAGTTGGTTTTTACAGATTAAACTATGGTGAAAATCTATGAATAATAAGAACATTAATTGGTTATAGTTTCCGTACTAAAACCCAATAACTATTTACAAATAATTATTACAGTGTGTTTGTAGTGGACTTCGCAGTATTGAGTGATGCCACAGCCCACTCGTTCTCTTAACCCTGCTCTTGCGCAGGGTTCAAACTTTATTCCTGTAATGAGTAGCACTTCTTGGAAATCGTACAGATCATTTGATAAAATGCTTGTGTGAAAATTAATCTAGGCAGGAACACTTTGAACTCTGCGGGTTGTACTAATGTATTATTTATAACTCTCACTCACTCACACACACACACACACTCTCTCTCTCTCTCTCTCT